TTTAAATTGTGGTTTCTCTTATAATGGATTTGCGCATTTCTACTGCAAAAAAAAATAATATATAAAATATCAGATTAAGACTTAAACACTTACAAACCTGTGAAAGACGATATCTTCCAGATTATTGATAAGATGAAGGTTTCTAGGGAATATGAAAAAGACACAAACACTTCTAAGAAATGTTTAAAAATTCAGTTATCAAATCAAATCAATTTACTAATTCAGAAATAAATATATGTTGATTTTTTCACATTTGAATTTAATGATTTTAATTATACAACTTTACAGAACTAAATTATATATAATATTTTCTAAATTGTTTTGCATATTATTATGCTTATAATTTCTTTAATTTGCTTAACAACAAAATACATTAATCAAGACCAAGAAAATTTGAAAATTAGTGGTAATAAGATTTTTTAACTGACCCCCCCCCCCTTTAATTTTCAAGAATCTCTAAATCCATCCAACTTACTAAAAAAGATGCTGAACAAAATTCAGAATAAATAATTTTTCTATCTTTCTTTGTTAAAACATTTTTTACACGCCTTTATATATATAGAGTCATGTTTGTAACTTAAACGCATTTTTCCATACCATATATTACATTCTGTTTACTTTTTGAACGTATTTTTGATAGAAAAAAAACACCATATTACAAAGAGAAAATCAGAATTTTTCTACGATAAAATGTTTTTGTTTAACGAATAATTTAATTTAAGTTTTTTTTCATTCCTAAGACTGGGAAGGGGGGGTCTATGCTTATTGAATAAGCATTGGTCTAAATACAGTGATAACTATAAAACTATAGACTAAGAAGACAACATTATAGCAAACTTAAAACTTAAAACTAGTTACTTATAAAATTTAAATCACTTTTAAAGTAAAATTTTGCAGTTTACCGTGCACAATTGTTGTGTATCAATATTGGACCATACATTTCAGAATTATTTATCAATTAGGAAAATTGGCAATTTTAATCAAATGTCTCAATTATTCAATATCAGCAGGGGCGTATTCAGGAATTAGTCCAGGGTCTCCAGGGGGCTTACATTTTTTTCTTTCCAGGGGGGGTCAGCACCCGTTGGGGCCTGAAAACCCCCTGAAATCAATAGATTTTACTGGTCGAGGGGGGCACAGCCCCCATAGCTCCCCCCTGAATATCAGTCTAATAATTGTTGACATGAAATGACGACATTTTTTAAAAATATGGAGAAAGTACGTTCAATCAGATTAAAATGTACCCCAGACCCCCCCCCCACAACAAAACTGTCTTCTGTTCTTTTAAACGTTGAATTAACTATTTAATAATACCATGATATGAATGTCATGTTTGGTATGGTTTACATGAAAAATATATTGTGGCTTGGCTCTGGCCTAGAACAAGTTTCATGTTTTCTACCTTATGTTCACATGAAACAAACGGACAAAATTCAAAATTAAATCCCTCACATAATATATGTTGCTTGCTTACATGCTATATAATACAACCAAACAACAGAAAGTCGGTGAATTGTTTCATTTTTTCATAATGTTAATTAACAAAAAATATATTTTTGTATTTTTCATTTCAAATTAGAAATAAAATAAATATTTTTTAAGATTTAAGTTTTTTGTCAGCAAGCCGACATTTTAAAAGTCTGGCTTTCTCCCCGGATTAAGAGAAATCTTAACCGTATGAGAGTTCAAATTCAACGTTTACACTGCTAACTTTTCAAAAGCGATAAAATTTTGTGTATAAAAGTTTTATTTTCAGGTAAACAATTGAATTAGAGTAATGGAAACGTGTTTAAATCTCAAAAATTAGCTTAAATCGAAGTTTTTCATGGGAAGGGTTTGACAGTTGCTAAGGCAGGTAGAGATTAGGCTTATTTTCCACCAATAAATGACAAGTATTCTCCCTGCCTCGACCAATCAGAGACGAGGATTTGAAAAGGTTTGGCCGCTCCAAACCAAACCTAAATTTCCGTTGTTCTCTAAGCGCTCGATACATATGTAGTGTGTGTATTTGAATAGTGATTTAAATTTAACCCCCTCCCCTTAATATGGGTGGTTCAAACTTGTGAAATTATGTAAATCTATTCAGGTAATAAACATTTTTATTTTTTAATTAAATTTTATGTTTTAACTAAACAAATATCGTTTGTTTTGCATATATTTGTGTTACATCGTTTTAAACTTTTTTAATAATTGTTAGAGATTTAGTTTTTTTACTGAAAAGGTTAACACAAGGCATACACGTAATTTATTAAATTATTTAAATCTTGCTAAGGAACGGATCTGTTTAAATCTTTACATTTTCTTACTTCTTTTTAAGGAAATTATTTGCCGCTCCAACCTCCTTCAAAAAATGCCTCATCCTTAATTTCAAAAGTACAAAAGAAATAGATTTGAAGTAATGAATACAAATATACGTATAAATGGTAGCTTATATTAATGTATTAAAAAAATATATAGAAAAAATACTCATACAATCAATTATTATATTTATCTATTTTATCATAAAACCTATTTATATGTCCAATTTTGCTTTAAATACCATAAAAATAATGTGTATAAAATGATGTTCAAAACAAACTTATATTCTAAAATTTGATGCAAAAGCGCGCGCAACTATATATATGTGTAAGAGAGGGGGGAGGTGTGTTACGTTAAATTATTTTCTGTTTGAATTTACCGTTTTTTTGCGTCTATTTGAATATATTTATGCGTAAACACGAGTCTGTTAGTCTGGGCCCATGGAGAGATAAGAAATATATCTATTTTCAAACATAACACTCATAGACTCATATCCCGGTAATTTCCTAGAGAACGATTTTTTGACCCCCCCCCNAGAGAGTACTTTTTATACAAATATATTTAGAGAGTACTTTTTATACAAATATATTTAGAGAGTACTTTTTATACAAATATATTTAGAGAGTACTTTTTATACAAATATATTTAGAGAGTACTTTTTATACAAATATATTTAGAGAGTACTTTTTATACAAATATATTTAGAGAGTACTTTTTATACAAATATATTTAGAGAGTACTTTTTATACAAATATATTTAGAGGGTACTTTTTATAAAAATATATTTAGAGGGTACTTTTTTCTTCTGCACTTACAAACATTATGTTTTATGTTTTAATTGTAATACTAAAATCTATTTATAAGTGAAACATTTATGCGAAATTAAGGTCGTAGGTCTTCTAGTTTTGATTTTACCCTTAGTATTAAAAAAAATTTGTTGCTTTCTTTGCATATTAGAAATTCAAAACTTTTAATTTTTTAAAAAGTTCTTTGAAAAATGAGAGTTATGATTGAAAACAGATTTCAATCCGACCTAAAGGAATTGAGTTTTTGCCACAAACTCTGATTTTCTAATCTCTATATCTTTGTAACCCAATGTCGTAGACATGAGATATTTCAAACTATTAATACTTATAGATAAAATAATCTAAGTTTGAAATATCAAAGGTTTGCACCATCAGATTGCAAAGATATTGGGATCAGAAGATTTGAGTTTGTGGCAAAAACTCAATTCCTTTGACTTAAATTTAACTTTAATTCTAAATGTTTGTCTAAGAACAAGTAAAATGTCCCAGTTTAACTTTTTTTGCCCCCCCCTCCCTGCTCATATTAAACTCTAGCTCTGATTCATAAATTCTTTGTAGATAATTTTTATCAAAAATCATTAATTCATTTATTTTTAAGAAATATTCGCGGTTTTCTTTTAGATTAATTCGTTGTTGACACATTCTCATACATCAAAGAAAAATTAGCAAAATATGACTTTGTTAAAATTTTTGACCTGTCACTTTATTGTTTAATTTATAACTTGTTAAAATTATTTACAATTCATCCGCTTGATAAATATTCAACAGTTTTTAAATATTCATTAAATATTTCACAACAATGTCTTCATTAAAACTATATTTTAAATATTATTTATTATTAAACAAATAATAATAATGTGTTAACAAACTAAAATTAATGTAAAATATTGTATATAGCAAACGCTATGCATGTCAAAATATGAAAATTTTTTGAACTTTAAAACAAAGATAATTATTTTTTCTAAAAATTGCCTATTTTATGAAGTGGTCTTATCCAATTGATTTCTGAAAAAAAGTTTTACAAATATTTCTTGAGTGTATTTTTCGTATTTCTTTCAAAATAGCATTTTTTCGGAATAATCAGAACTAAATCCACCGTGTCTCCAGTCTGTTTAGAAACCTTGTACAAGGTCTGAATCTAAATATTCTAAAGGAAATATTTGACCCTTTTTTCAAGGCTTATTTGTTTTCGTATGATTTCACCACAAGAAAATTCGTGACAATTTGACAAGAAATTTCTTGATTATTAATTTTTGTTATCTTTTAGGTATTATGGCGGAGTAAATAATATATATTTGTTCTTAATCCGTTCCAATTAGTCAGTTTACACCACACTCTGATAGCAGGTATACAACCAAATAAAAAGGGTCAAAATTTTTTAATTTTGAAAAATTTTAATGGAAAAATTCCTAAATTTTACTTTCTTTGATTATAAAAAGTTTAAACCTTTACTTTAGAAAAATGGTGTTGTATTCATTATTATTATATTTTTTTTATTCTAGTTCATGAGACTAGCTTATAGCTAGAGTTAGGACTAAGCTATATTAAAAAAGTATTTATTAGCTTAAGTACTTTGATACAATGCAAGCAAATGTCGATTTAACAGTAATGGATAATGAAATTGAAAGTGCTCATATACTTAACTTATGTTACAACTTACAATAAGTCTGTATTTGATTTTTCAGCATATACAAAACTTTTGCTTTATAAAAGTTAACGAAGGAGTTTACAATTTGTACGCTGCAAAGATTAAAAAAAATTCAAAATTATCACACAAAAAACAGCAATATTTAAAAATAATTCAGTTCCCCCCCCTTCCAAAAAAAAAAAATAACAACACTTTTTTAATTTTTTGTTTTAACTTTTATGATTTGTTTTTCCATTTTCTGCCATATCTTATTGTTCCTTTTGTTCCAGGCGTACAAGTGTTCCAGGATGGAATATATCTCTACTCATGATGGAACGGAGAATATAGAGAACCAAGCAGTCGGAGGAACAGGGAACAGGGTTGTGGAACCTTCACCCCGACCCCTAGAAACCACTTCAACCCTGGGGCCCCTGGCCGGCGCCCCCGCTGGATCAATTTTAGATTTACGAACCCCCTCCCAGGGGCATACTAGTAATCCGGCGCAGGGGCACCCTCCGTCAGGACCCCTTGAGGCTCGTCTTAGGGGCGACTCAGTACCTTCCTCTAATTTAGGGACTACCTCTCAGTCTGGGGTTATCCATGGAGCCTCTTCTGTACCTGTCTCTAGAAGAATACCCTCCGAAGTCCCCTCCGCACCCCTGAACCCCTCCGGGCCTCTGAACCCCTCAGGGCCCCTGAATCCCTCCGGGCCTCTGAACCCCTCCACGCCCCTGAATCCCTCAGTGCTACAAAGTCCTGCTGCCAGTCCTTCGATCCAACGCAAAGGAGCGTTTGCACGTTTTACCTCTCATATATCAAGGATAACGGCCTCGCATTCTAGACTCCCCACCCTGTCCTCTATTCCGTCCTCGTCACGGCCTACAGACCCAACCTCCCGGCCACCGGCCTCATCCTTGTCAGATACAGATCTCGGGACTAAGCCTAAAACCAAAGAACAGAAGAAAATAACAGGTATTTAATTTGTTTGTATTTTCTCAAAATTCTCGAGGTTTAAGTAACGTCTTTGATCAAAACAATCGCGATATGAATATCTCAGTCCTGGGATTTTCAAATTTGTCTAAAATAGCGCTAAATGCCATTTTATTTGTAAGTTTTAAGATACATTATTTATGCAGTTTTTCTTCATATTTCCTAATATAGTCGATCATAAAGCCGTTCCACTAAATTTTATGCCTTATTGACTATTAAATTAAATGTGTTTACGAAAATAACTGGTTTTTTTTGTTTAAAATACGAAAATAACTGGGTTTTTTGTTTAAATTACGAAAATAACTGGGGTTTTTTGTTTAAAATACGAAAATAACTGGGGTTTTTTTGTTTAAAATACGAAATAACTGGTTTTTTTTGTTTAAATTACGAAAATAACTGGGGGTTTTTTTGTTCAAATTACGAAAATAACTGGGGTTTTTTGTTTAAATTACGAAAATAACTGGGGTTTTTTGTTTAAAATACGAAAATAACTGGGGTTATTTGTTTAAAATACGAAAATAACTTGAGTTTTTTGGTTAAATTACGAAAATAACTGTTTTTTTTTTTCAGATGCGTTTCGATCCTCTCGTCGACCTAGATCTAAATCTCTGAGTAAACTAAAAAGATTAGGTAACTTCGGTGCATCAAGATCTCCCAGTGTTCATTCCAGAGATCCTCGTCGATCCCCGCCCCCCAGGGGGGCACAGGGGGAGGAGCAGTCCAGTGATTGATCGATTAGTTGATTGATTGATAGATCTATTAGTTATAAAAACATTTTCGCAATGGCAACTAAACCCAGCTAAATATTTAAAACAATAGTTGAAGTTTTTCTAAAAGAGACATATTTTACTGCACATATCTTTTTAAAACTCAAATCAAATTTGTTTTTTTTTTTTGAGACTGATTTTTCATTAGATGTTTTTCTTTTCTGGCAAATGTTATTTTAACACCTTCTCTGTTTCGTAGGTTGGCTTGTTTTTGATGACTAGTCGAATACTTTTTGTAATTTCTAAAATTCAGAATTTTTTGGTTTTGTTTTGGTGACATTGTTTATTGAGTCATCTTGTTCCAGTGTTAGTTCAGATATAAATATAAATAACAAAATTTTACAAATTTCTTTAACATTTGTCAAAAACCCATGTTGGAGAAATTTTGCAAAAAATAACAACGAAAATTTGTGAGAATTTTCCATTTCATTGAATATATATGTACATAAAATTATATATTTAGACTGTGCGTCTGTACAATTGTACATGAGGCTAGCGGTACACAAGCAATATTAAAACCAGTTTCATGTATAAACCAATTCAACAAATTTGTGGGAACTAATATTCTAATCTTTAAATTTTTTAATCGGATTTTAAAAAGAAAGGGAAAAGGGTTTTTTTGAACTTTTATTACAAAACTCACTAAATAAAAATGTTGAATTGGAGTTTTTTATTTATTTTTAATAAAAATTGGTTTTAAATGAAAACTGTGATTTGTATTTGTGCTTTCAACAATAAAATATTATTATTGCACATTATTGTTTTTTTCTTTCTCATTCAGTGAGAACGTAAAACTTTAAGATAGGAATACGACTTTTAGATTGAAGTTCAATGAACACGGCAGCAGTGCAGTGTAAAAAGATATCAGTCGAAAAAGACCATTTATTAACATGTGGTTATTTCAAACAATGAATCACAAATTTCTTCGTCAAATCTTTATGCTAATCTGGCTTGTCTGTTTATTTGTATCCAATAAACGTCAAAACGGTTAAACCGATCGGGCCCAAATTTTGTGTGGGACCTTACATGACCTCAAAGAAGGTTAATAAATGATCAAAATTAAAAAAATTTGTGTAAAAAAGTATTTTATTTTGTAAAATTTTGAAAATGTGCGGAAAAATATTATGAAATTCGCAAACTTTTTTTGTTTTTGTTTTAAACTGTACAAAGAGAAGATGCACACAGATAAAGCCACAATTTAAAGTTTAAATAGAAGATGGGCGCGAAGCCCTAAAAGCCTAGTATTAAACAAAAAACATCACTGAACTTTTGGAAGTTTTTAATCCCTTCTAGTAATCAAAGTAATTTTCTCATCGACCAAGCAGTCTTGCCCTTGCAGCTGAAAATGACAGATTTCCGACAAAAGTTGTAGATTTAAAAATGAAGGAAAATGTGCTTAGGCATTTCTTCAGTAGCGCGTCAATACATTTATGAATACAATTTTTACATTAAAGTTTGAATCCATCAGAGTCCAGATACTGATAGAATTCATTAGAAAAAATTGGTCTTTCTGCTCCTGAGTCCTGTTATCATTGTTTTCTTTAAATTGAAAAATATTTATTAATCATAAAATTAAAAAATATTAAATATATGAAATTAATCTAATTCAAAATTTTCATCTTCCAAGGTGGGGAGGGTAGTTTGAAATCGTCTGCTGCGTAGATGGGTAGACCAAGAAGTTCCTTGACAGGGGTTTCTCGCCATAAATATCCTGAAACAACAATTTGTAAACACAGACAAATAATTGCAAAATTGTATTCCTGATAAGTTTGCTTTTGTTTAGACACTGCGCGATTTTTTTCTCTGATCAAAGAAATTATCCAAAGCTAATTTAAAAACCTAAAAAGATTTTACTAATAGTTTTGAAATATATATTTGGCAATAATAAGCAAACTTTGTCTATCCTGCAGTTTTGAAATAGGATTTTTAACTCAGATTATTGTGGAGCCTCTAAATTGACTTTGAATGTTTAAAAATGATGCGGATCAGTAATTGTAATCCCGTTAAAGTCTCCAAAGCTCTCAAAGCTAGGTAAATGACAGGATATTGTTACGTTAACCCGAGCCCGAATTTAAAGAATTTAAGCTGCTTCGCTAAACCGCCAAAAACCGGTAACTGAACACCGGCTCAAATCTCGAAACACATAATACAATTTTAAGTGGAACCAACCATGTTTTGAGCCGCGTCTCAAATTTCTTGCGTGGCTAAAAAAAATAGAAAAATAATTAGTTTAAGCCATTTCGAGGTGGGAACACGAGTATTGTGGACAGAGGCGGCTTATGGGGGGAGAGGGGGGACGCCCCCCCCCCAAGAAAATTGGAGGGACGTCCTCCTCCCTGGAAAACCGGGGGCGTGGGGACGTCCCCCCCCATCTCCTGGAAAAATTAGCAGCGCAAGGAAAGAGCAGGCACCTTATAGCCCTTTAATTTTGATTTTTAAGAATATATTGAAAATTCCCCCCCCCCCCCTCCTTGGAAAATATCATAAGCCGCCCCTGACTGTGGATATCGAGATCAGACTTTTTGTTAAACTACTAGATAAGTTTAATCTTACCCTGGAGGATTAACTTTAATATAAAGATTAAGCAGTGATCCTCAAATTAAAAGTGCCCAAAGTGGAGATCAAGCTATCGGGACTATAGAGTTCTCAGCTCTTTTCATGTAATTGTTTAATATAGCCTCGGATATCATTAATTAGAAATTTCTAAACATGGCTTGTATGAGACCGATAAAACTCTGTAATATGAAGACGACATTTCTGCCTTTTTATGTGTATTTGATGCTGTCAAGGCCAAAATTTTGCGAGTAGCTTGAAAATCAACTTAATAAGTCGGTCAAATGGGTCTGTGTACACTGCATAGACCAGTTGCTGTGTTTCATGTGCATTGTATGTACTATTTGAAATCATAACTTGAGTCAAAAAGCCGTCTTCCTATTCCACAGTTTGACGGGTCCTTCTGTATATTCGAAACTAAGCTTAAAATTTTACCAATTGACCCCTCGTACACGTTCGAGAATCCAGACAGGTCGATTGTGATTGTCCTTTAGAATATAATTAAATATATTAATGAAAATGATTTTTAAAATAAAATTCTTGTTTTATTTGTTGATATAAATTTTATGGTGTATTTTTCCCTGAAAGACAGAACTAAGCAGATTTAAGCTCATTTGAAAAAAAATTTCAATTAAAATGAAAAATTGATATAAAGGAACTGAGTTATTACCATACACTTTGATTTTCTAATCACTATATCTTTGAAACCCGATGTCGTAGACCTTCGATATTTTAAACTATGAATTCTGTTGGATCAGATAGTCTAAGTCAAATATCAAAGGTTTACAACATTAGAGGATTAGAAAAATTTGAGTTTGTAACAAAAACTCAGCTCCTTTGAATATTAAAACTCATTTTTAAACATTGATGTAGTAATGTCTTTTTGAATGCCATCTTTGTGCATGTATATAATGATAAAATAACAGTAAAAATGGTAGATTTTACCGTTGACCAATTTGGTGAACAGACTCTTTAGGGATCTCGATCCAACTATTGGTATTACTCCCTGCATCACACTCAGCAGGTTCAGAGGAGCAGTAGTAGAATCCACTAAATATTATTAATTAAAAGGACTGTGAGCAATTCCCGATTTACAACGGTACCCTTAAAAGCTTTTACTGATCAAGTATAAATTAGACATTATTTATTCTCCTTGAAAATACGCCTTGTTGCTATACGTAGCTGTTTCTGTAGGTTGGATTTCTATAAGGTTTAACTTCATTTTTGAAGTCAAACCTTATACGCTGAAAAAAACACTTTCCGAGTCAGAAAAAACGACGGTTTCTTCCAGATCAGCTTAAGGTTACAAGGATACCCTTATAGATCTGGAATCGCTATCTTTGCATGAAGGGTCACTTGAAATTGCGCTTACAGTCCCTTTAAAGGGATCTTTCGGATATTTCCAAATAATCGTATTGTCCCAGATCCTAATTGAAAAAGAACTAATCTAAATTCAAAACCAGATAATTCATGATGTTTAAGTTTAGAACAGCGATAAGAATTTAACAGGTTTAAAGATAGAAAAAGAATAAATCTTCCTCATGGTAATCAGATAAAGGTCTTGAATTGGAATTAAAATGAGGTCATTTATTTACATATTTTATAGTTTAATTAGACATTTTATTAAAAGACATTTCTTGAAGATCACACAGAAGGTTTTGTAAAATTTTCTCTTTGTCTTTGAATTGCCTATTTTTATAAAAAAAAAAACTTTTAAACATGATTCATGGTTTTAAGTTCATAAATGCTGAAAGACACCTGATCTCTACGTCAAGATATTGAAAATCCTGATCATAGTCAACAAAAACAAGATCTCCAGGCTCCTAAATTAAAAATATAAGCTGAGATACAAATCGTTTTATGTTTAAAGTTTTTATACTTTTAACAGGCCTTACAAGATTCTAAGATGTTTGACTTTTTTCAAATTGGTGATCTTAAAGTTTGCAGGTTTTAAATTCAAAATGTTAACTCTGTTTACAAAAAGATATTGACCAAAATAATTATTTGTAACTGATCGATTTCATTTTTCGTTTTGATGTATTGTGTACAAACAATATATAATTAAAGCAAACTTACTATCATAAATTTTTAGAAATTATAACAAAAAGTTTTTTTAAAGTTAAAAACTGTCTCTCCAAAAACTCAGTGATATTTGTTAATCTATTTCCTCTGAGAAAATCTTTGTAAGACAAATTGAACAAAAAAGGTTTGAAATTCCTCTGATGCAAAGTTAATTTTTCCTAAAGAAATGTCATCAAAAATGTCCAAAAAATCCTTTATAATATTGGTTCAAATTAAGGCTCTGGCCACCACAATAGATTTGTTTGGAACACCCTGTACATACTTTTTCAGGTTGAGCTAGCCCTATGTTGATTGGAAAAGGACCATTTGTTGGGAAATCTGTAAACCCATAGGCAACATGGAGGCCAGCGATTGCCAATCTTTCAGCAGCAATTTGCTTATATCTAAATACACACAAAATGATTAAAATATTGAATCTAAAAAGCAGCCCTAAATGTATTTTGACCAGTGCTATATATGGTGATATGTCCAGCTATCATGTACTATAATTATATGAATCTTAACTTTTAAAGTAAAAAAATATTTAAGAAGTCATTCTTCATTTAAAAGATAAAGTCCCATTTTTAATTTTTTGCTTTTACTTTAGCAAATATTTTACAGTAAAACCCTTGCCAAGGTTCAGTACCCCCTCCCCTTCTTGCACTCTACCAAAATTTGACATGAAAAAAAATAAACAGTTAAACCCTAATTAAGCCATACTTCGAAAGAATTCATCAAATGTTGTATTCTTTACTTTCTGATAATGGAATGTTGCAGATATTTAGTTTTTTAATGAGATGATTATATGGAGCTCTTTAAAACTGTTCTTGCATATGCATGGCTATTTATTTATTTTCGAAAATACTGAGATTTACGTAAAATAGTATAAAACCCATTGAAAAATTGTCAAGACGACATTTGATGAATTCTTTCGATGTATGGCTCATCTAGGGTTTAACTGTAAAAAAAAACTATTCAAAAACTAACTTTACCTGGGACAAATGCCACCAGCTGGGTCAAATGTGTCTAGGGGTGAAGACATGAACACATTTTTCATCAAATCATTTGGAACATACCCAACATCTGCAGTCTAAAATATTAGAAAATTATTGATTGGTCTGAAAGTTTGGCCAAGCATAGAGAGAAAAGATCTAAAAAAAGCTCGGAACTGTTGAATAATTTATGTAGAATGATATTGGAACTGAGGTTGGAACTGTTGAATAATTTATGCAGAATGATATTGGAACTGAGGTTGGAACTGTTGAGTTGATAATCCCTTCAAAAGGCACAAATCTGCAACTGAAAGGGACTGTAACTCTAATTTCAAGTGACTCTTCGTTTTATTAAACTGTATTTTTTTCATTTGTGGTTAGCGCATTTCTTGCTTATGAGAAACAACGGAGAAACTATCAGAACGACGTTACGAACCACATTTTGTATCAGATTAAGGTATAAATGGTACCGTTGTAAATCGACCATTGTCATCTCTCCACGGAGGGTCTCTTTAAATAAAAGATTCCGTACAAGGTAGATCTTAATTAAAGGCATTAAAGATTTCAGTCCGAAAATTTCAACCTCTGAACATTAACAACCATATAAACTATAAAGCTTGATGACAGCTGTTACCTGATGCCATCTTATGACCGGAAACCCAGCATCTGTACTGTCAGGCCGCCATGTAGAAAGCTGGACAAATCCAAATGGCGCTGGAAAAAAAGTCACAAGTCCAACTTTTTAAAGCCTTCTCATTTTAGACCCCCTTTCTTTTTTTGCTTTGGTTCTGGGGAGCCAGGAGGTGAAAAAGAATTTCAAAATCTGTGCACAAATAGACTAATAGCCTAATTCATATTCATTATCATAGGGATGACCTATTTCAGATTTTTTAATTCCTTTCAAGGCCCTGTACCCTGCCATATGCATTAAAAAATAACAAAATTTTATGCAAACAGCATGAATTTTAAATTGTCATCAATGTTTTATCCCAGATTATAAAACTAGTTACCTTCAGGGGAAGTTGCTGAATTAGCTGAAAACTCTTCCCTCCAATCGGAGATCATGGCCGGGAAAGAGCAGTTATATAGATCTCTGGGTAAAATGTAGATAAAGGTTTAACCCAGAACTTTGGAGACATCAAAGGAATTTATAAAAAAGCGTCTGGGACAATTTTTCAAAGGGTTTTATAATTTTAGTACCTTTATCTCAGTAATTGTAATAATAAATAGCCATGAAATATGCGACAGTTTTAAAGAATATAATTATTCAGTAAAAAAAACTAAATATCTCCAGTATTTTATTATCAGCAGGCTAAGAAAACAACATTTTATCTATTTTTTTGATGACTCCAAGTCCAAAGTTCTGGATTGAACTGTAAGAAAATATGTTTACATGCCGGGGCCTCTCCTGACATTTTTTGGCAACCTTGCGTAACCATCTATCTATCTTAAACTAGCCTAATCTGGATAAGTATAATCACGCGTGGTTGCAAAAAAAATAGGAGGTGAAGGGGTCCAAAATGGCTATGAGGGAACAAGGCACGGTATTTTCAACATTTATGGGTTATTGGCTTTCAGGAGGATCCATAAAAATCTGCGGAATCGATTACAAACCTCAACATTCTGGACGGTAAAAAGCAAAAAAACAGAAAAGTCAAACAAAAACCATAAAAACTATGCCAATGTATAAAACCCAAAAATTCATATGAAGTAAAAAAAAATATTACCTATTCCGTTCTCCATTAGCCTCTCCTTGATACCAGAGGAATCCGGTGACAGCATTCCGTTTCAGAGGATTTATCATTCCGTTCCATAGGGAGGAGGTGGTATAAGCTGGAGTACCTTCGTTAACACTTGCAGGAATACCACATCTACGATGGAGAAGGAACCTTTGATATTTCCAACTTTGATTGTTTGTTTCTTACAGAATACTCCGGACTAACCAGAGTGAGCAAGCATTTGGTTTCTTCTATTTGAAATCAAACGTGTTTTGGTCTTTAATTCAACAATCATTTACTTTACGGATTTGTTTATTTTATACATTTTCATTCAAAATTCATATGCAAACAAAAAGTATTTAAGAAAAAAAGGCTAACAAATTATGTCTAATGGGTCAAATTGTGATCGAAAGTCACAGCTTTCTGGAATATTGACAGAACCGTTAAATCCACGTGAGAAGTCATAGTTTGAAATATCAAAGATCTCCCAGATATCGTGTTGTAAAGATAAAAGGACTTAAAGATCAGAGCTCGTGACAAAATCCTAAATTCTTTAAGATGTAAGGGAAGCCTAAATTCTGAATACTTTGATCATAATTATTTGAGGTAATCAGTTGTTTTCCAATTAATGATAAAAGACTTACTTTTGTCAAATAATAAGAAGTTGATTTTTTACCACAAACTCTGATGGTGCCCATATATCTTTGCAACCCAACGTCATAGATATTTCAAAATATGAATTCTTTTAGAGCTAATACTAAGTCTGAAATATCCAAGGTTTACACCGACAGTATGCAAAGATATAAGGGATTAGAAAATTTGAGTTTGTGGCAAAAACTTAGTTCCATGATATTTCTAAAAAAGCACTTACTCGTCCAGTGTCTCTTGATCAGACCAAGACTCGATAGGAGTACCAGCCCAGTCCGCAGAGACAAGACCTTGTGGTATCTCAGTAACATCATAAACAGACCGAGCAAACAGGAAGCATATTGCCGACATGGACTGCATTAAAAAAAACAGCTTTAACCTGTGTTAAGGGAAAAGGATTCCTGATTTTAAAAGAGAACCCTCACTAATTTCAAAGAAAAAATTCTGGAAATTTGCTGTTTTTGCTCGAATTTTATATATTTTTAGCCATATTTCTTGGTTCTGATTCTGATTAAATCTGTCTCACGTTTTAAAGATTTTCATGCCAGATTGTGGTACTTCTCTCACACCCAAATATCATGAACGCTCCCTTTAAATGCCGAGTTTGTATATTGTATAATACCTAAAAACTCCCTAAATCCCTGCTGGAGACCAAGGCAGAGAATATACCTGAAGACTCCCTAGATCCTCAGCTGGAGACTAAGGANGAAGACTCCCTAGATCTGCTTCTGAAGACCAAGAAAGAGAATATACCTGAAGACTCTCTAGATCCTCTGCTGGAGACCAAGAAAGAGAATGGGTTTGATCATAATTATCATCTGTTTCCTCCAGCGCTTGGTTTGTTACAATAGTATACCTAATCCTATCTAAATACAAGGGATTATAGACAAACATTTAAGTGATTCTTCATTTTTATATGGAGCTTTAAAACTTTTCGTAAGAACGTACAAAAGAAAAAACAAACTTTTAGCTGAACAAATCAGGATATTGTGTTCGTCCTTGATCAGAAAAAGGTTTAGAGGGACCGGTTTTGTTAAATACAGTATTTTTTATCGTATCGACTATTATCTTACTATATATTGCAGGTATTATGTTTTAAAGAACTTTTTTTTAAATCTTCTTTGTCAATTATTTGTTGTTCTACCTGTGTAAACTTCAGAAGCATCTATTTCGTCTGCAGCATTTTCAATATTCAGCATGTTCTAAAAAAAGTTTCCAAAAAATTAGTATTACAATTTTAGCAATGAAACCGTATAAGAAATTAATAAATGAATGAAATTACGATTCAGTTGATCTTTGAGAATTAGTTCATTTGAAAAGTTTCGACCGCATGGTTCACTGCAATCTCAGGGATTATGAAATCTCTATTAAATTCGCACTGGTCCGACATTATCCGCGCACTGTACTGGTATTAATTCTGCCTCATAATTGGCAATATTTCAGTCAAAGTACAACGTATTTAAAACTGATTTTGCTTTCCTTACACTAGATGTCAAATCTTAGCCGGCCGGACAAACGTTCTGACCTCTGCAATCTCAGAATCAAAGATCAAAATTTGTTTAAAGATATTAAATAAATATAAAGTATCTATTTACTTGCTCCATGTTTCCTTGTCCTGAACAAATCCAAATATCTCCGTAAAGAACATTTTCTAATTTTAGTTCTCCGTCAGATGCCTAAACAATACTGTGATAACCAGAAAACTCTGGAATAGGAAGACGACTTTTAAACTTGAATTATGACCTTAGATAGTCCAATGAGCACGGGAAACAGAATATTTATAAAATTAAAAAAGTAAAATTATAGATTTAAGATAATTTAACCTCAAAACTACAAATCGTGTTCTCAGACTCTCCTCTCAAAAGAAACTCCCAAACATCCTCGGCAACCTTAGATTTAAAGATAAAGTAAAAAAAAAATGATTTCAAATTTCTATATTTTCTGTGGAACCCGCATAGAACAAACGACCCTGTTTTAGAGTCTGAAAACGACCCGCACGACCCCAAAAACGGGCGCCGGCCCGACTCTGTTTTAGTACTAATAA